AGCCCTTTGCTGCTAATTAAACTGCCATTTCTCTGCGCCATGTTTTTTCCCAACGAAACCCTCCATCTCCTGTTCTCTCACATGCACACACATACAAATCTAGAGCAACAATTTACACACAGTATATTGTCACAATTTGTTTACATTGTGCTTACAACTCCATTCTGCTTTATGTATTTATTCTCTGGGTCCATGTCGTTCTCTGCCTGACCAGCAGAGTCATTTTCATTAAATGGCTGCAGCCAGAGAGGTCAATCGGGGCCACACAAAGCTTACTCATTATCCACCCCTGTTTGTCCTACAAGATGAAATATGAATGACTGTCTGGGCAACCTTTTCCCACCACAGATGATCTGCTTGTCATAGCTGCAAGTTATTTTATTAATAAGTTTCAGATGTGTTAGGAACATTTGGTTAATAGCCGTTGCAATCATCATTAGTGGCCTAAGGGGCAAGTGTCCAACAGAAATATTATTGTGTATCCTTTTATTATTATGACTTTAACCAGAATATTGTGAAATATCTGGTGACATTTTTTGTTACAAACTATCACATTGATGTAATTCATATTGGACAAGATGTAGATGTGTTTAGATGTAGTTGTGTTTTTTTCTCTCTGGCCTTGATATTTATATCTGTTTGTTAGACTCCAATAGTTTAAATTCAAAGTTTGAGACAAAAAACTCAAATTTGTAGGTGCCCCAGTAGCTCACCTGGTAGAGCTTGTGCCCCATATTGAGCCCCAGATTAAGTCCTTACCACTGCGGCCTGAGTTTGAATCCAATCTTGGGCTTGTTCTGCATGTCATCCCCTTTCTCTTTCCCCCCTTCCTTGTCAATCTTCAGCTGTACTACCAAATAAAGGCATAAAGCCCAAAAAACACATCCAAAAAACATCCAAACAATAATAGATTGAAAGTAATCAATCAGACGGATCAGATGTCTGTTATATAAACATATAACATAAACTCAAACTGATGCTTTTCAAGGAGTTAAATTCAATTGTATTTAAACTTCAACAGTATCAGTTGTGGTTAAATTTCACAAAAATGTGTTCAGTTTCCTATAGATTTGAAATCAATTTGGCCTTACATTGCCTCTACACTATGAGCATGTTTATTAAGATGATGAATTGATGCCACAGAAGTTATTGTGGATTCAGGCCATAAAGACAACATCAAAATATTACTTATAATACCTTAATGTGCAGAAATGTTACCTGCAATTTGTAACTCTAACAAACACAATAACTGAAAATTCCTAGAGTATACTTTGAATCTGCATATTAATTAATTATATATATATATAATATTCTGCTCCCATACTGATTAAGTATGTGGAAAAACCACAGAATCCTGCAGTGTGTCTTTTGGCCACTAGCGAGCAGCAGCAGGCACCCTGATCTGTCAGCAAGGAGCAGACTTGAGGAGATATTTATTGCTCCAGCTGAGACATTATAGAGGGACCCCCGAGCCCAGTTTAAAGCCCTGTTAAGTGTTTGGACTCTGTGTATGTCCCCTAAGCTCGGTGGCTCAGTGGTTCAGAGGAGAGGATCGATTGCCCCCTGACTCAACTGCACGGCAGCTACACATTCAGTAATGCAGTAATGTAGTTCATAAATATTGACTATAGAGCTGAAATGGCAGGTATAAATCCTAAAGGACTGTCCTGTGGAGGATAATGGGAGAGATGGAGGGCGACGGCCAACTACAGTAAACAGATCAAACTGCTGACCTTCACCATGCTGCATCGCAGATTCAAAAGTCTGATTACAGCAGTTGTTAACAGAGAACAGAATGGAATGGAATAGAATAGAATAGAATGGAATGGAATAGAATTGAGTATAATAGAATAGAAATGTCAGTGCAGAGAGAGACTTGTGCCTTCTGAGTACTTCTGCATGAGTTTGTAAATGGCCTTTGACCTACTGATTACTGCCTAATTTCTGCCTCTTTCTACATAGCCACGGTACTGTTTGGAATACACTATGTGCAATTAAACTTCTCAGACATTTCCTAATCTAATTTTCTCTAAGAAGTTTGTGGTTCTGCTTTCTGAAATCAGAAAAACATGATCAAAACAAGACCATAAGAGTTTAACTTGTGGCAGAGATGTAAAAAAAAAAACTCTTCCCCATAATTCTGCCAAAAAGTCAAAAATATAAAAATTTCATTTCATTTTCAATAAATAGCCTACATATTTAATTTGCATATGACTGCATGCCTGCCTCCTGCTGTATGTTTGCATGTATGCGCATTATATATGTGTACATGTATGTGGGTTTGGCTTGCAGAGAAGAATAAATGCTTATTGATCTCTGACTACAGCATGAATCTGTCTTTATTGTCGGCTCCTCCGCCGGCCGAACAGACTGTCTTGTGTCTCTTGTTTATGACCAACCTTTATCATCCCTGTCTCCCTTTACCATACCTCTCTTTCTTTCTCTCCCACCCTGCTTGTAACCCTCCTCCATCACCCGTCCAGTTTAATCTCCGCCGTCACGCTTCATGATCAGACCTGGAGACCATAACACCAACTCTCTCTCTCTTTTTTCCCTCAATTTTTACTCTTGAGGGATGGACCTGGTGCTGCAGTCATCTTTGAGGAAGTGGTACACTGTTAAATAGATGTAAATACACACATACATATTGTCATTAAGTGTTATTTGTATTGTAACTGACACTACAATGTAGAATCTACAGCGTGCAGCCAGACAGATGGCTTTATAAGGAGTTTGGAAGACCTGTTCTAGTCTAAGTGTCCTGAGATAACTTCTGTTATGATTTGATGCTATACAAATAAAACTGAATTGAATTGAGTTGAACCTGTGGGCACTGCTGAAATCCACTGACATCAAACATTGTGGCTGTGGGAAGTTAGTCACCGTTGAGCAACTGCCAAGACCAATTTGAATTATATTCATGACCATTCTGTAACTCTGCCTGATAGAACGTGCAAAGAAAAGTGTGCAGCTGGAGAATTCAAAGCCTCCTTTCTTATCTGCACAAACTTTAAAAAATAGTTGCAGCCGTGGTTGGATTTACAGCATGTTTTATATTGGTCCTCATTTTGTTTTATTGTTTATAGGTAAGTGCTCATTCATAAAAATGTAACAGGTGCCTTCAGTATGATGAAAGGTCAGTGATCAAGATAGTGGCTTCAGTCTGACACACTACCATTGACAAGCAATAGCTGCTGAAGTGTGCATGTTTAAAATCTTTATTGGAGGACAGAGGTAAGAATGGTAGGACTTAACAGACCAGTGTGAAGGATTTAGTGGCATTTAGTGGTGTAATTGCAGATTACAACCACCTTGCCTCACCCTACTTCTTCCACCATGATCCTGCTGAAGTTCCTTGCTGCTGCCAGACAAATTTCTCCAGACCAATAAAGCGACTGCAGGACATTAGAAACTGGACATTCAACACAAAAAATAAAAAAACCTATGAAAGGATATTAAAAACCAAAAAAAAAGGAAACCAGAACAAATAAATTGTCAGTAAGTAAATACTCTTTACGGTTGTGATGACTGGATTAGATTATAAAACTCTTGTAAGAGTTTTAAGAATCATCATTCCTGACTTGTAATCAGAGGAAAAGAGAAACTAATACCAAAAAGTAATGGAAATAAAATGTGTGTGATGTTTAGAAACCAGAAAATGTGATAAATAGTCTGACTTTGCAGCCCTCCACAATACCAACAACACTGCCCCTCAGCCCTTCTAACCCTCCCCACCCTCATGTGGCCACTCTCTTAATGGAAATTGATGCAGATGTCAAGTATCTAATTTATGAGTCATACAAGGGCAGGATGGGGTCACAACTATGAGCTATAATTGCTGGACCCAACTCCAATGCAATGGCTGTCACTATGTCTATAGGATTATGTCACTGTTTGACTCTGAGTGTGTGTGTGTGTGTGTGTGTGTGTGTGTGTGTGTGTGTGTGTGTGTGTGTGTGTGTGTGTGTGTGTGACGGATGTCAGCTGGAAAATTATGATGCAGTAGTATCTTTGCTGGAAGCATCAGGAGTTGCTGGACACAGCAGCCTATGTACTGTATGTACTTTTGTGTTCTGGAAAAACAATTAATCAGGAACCTTAAAATATCCATGAAGACACGAATGGAAACTGTAACTACATCTATTCTGGAAATGCTGCTATTGTTGGAGATTATGTTCATGAATTTCTAATTGTCTCTCTTTATTAACAACTACTGCATTATTGACTTTACTAATACTGCTACAGTGGCTAGGCTGCAAACTTTAACTTAAAGTTTGAAAGTGTGAAATGTGATTATCAGTGGCATGTAATTAACAAATAGCCAGCATTATCTGATGCCTCTGGCTCCTTTTTGGATCCAAGCTACATTTCGGGAAGCAGCTGCTATCTGATAAAGAGCTGAAAGCTTCATAGCGGATAAGATTATCTAGATTTGTGATTATGTGCATGTGTGTATTCATTCACATGCTGTTTCCCTTTAGCGGTCATACGGCCTTGCTGCCATCTTAAGCTAACAGAAGGCGTCTAATGAAGCCATAGTCAGCTGACTAACATTGGGCCCTGGCCTCGGACAGTTCACATACTGTGAGTGAGACAATGTGATGCCTCAAAAAGAGCTTAATATAGAAACTGGAAATGTTTATAATCTTGAATGAAAGACTGCAGGATAGAATGATCAGTTAATGTTCATGTGCAGTGTTGGGTAATGTTACTTTTAAAAGTAATTTGTTACATTACAAGATTACTGCCATTAAAGAAATAACTAGTGACATGACGTTATACAGATAAAGGTAACTTGTTAGATGTTTGCATTGAAAACTGAAAACTTCTTTGCATTTCCTTACACATGTTGGTTGTATTGTCCAGAGAGCTAGTAGCCTTTGAATGTACTCACTATAGGCTACCGTCATTGCATAGTTAGGCACCCTTAATCTGTAACTCTGCAGGCTAATAACAGGAATGACACACATAGGAAGTAGAAGTAGGAAAGAAACAGTGAGAATGCTTCAAGGATTTACTTTTTTTTGCTTTTTGTTGCAACAAAAGGAACAGGGAAATATGGTAAAATTTTAACAGTAATGGATTGCTTATTTAAAATTATAACCAAATAACTGATTACTTGAATTGTTCATGTGATACATCAGGTCTCCATCCAGTTAGCAAGACATCAGCTCCCATTTCTTTCTCCTCCTGAAGGTTTCAGCATTTATTGTCTATACAGACAAAGCTCAACAATTCACGCAGCATTACTGGCCAGTGAGAAGAAAAAGAAAAGGTATGTTTCATTCCATCCACTGAAAAAACAAAGATGAAAGAAATCAATACAGCTGGATTAGTACAGTACACCTTTTCCTTGGCTAGCGTTGGTAGCAGTGACAGGCGAGTGCATTATGACAGTGACAATTTATAACAACTCCCAGAAATAATTACTGGACACAGATTCAAGTAACGTCTCTGAGAACAGACTGCGATAATCACTGTAAGCATTCAATATGATGGAAGATAAAGCAAGTGAAGAGCCAGACTGTTTGGCTAATTTGCCTCCAGGTCAGTGTATATAAAATACTGTACAATATTATTGCTGCTGGTTTCCTTGGTGATGGATGCTGACGAGCACTGCTTTGATGAGACCAGCGTACTGCACCTTTACATGAAGCATAGTGAGTAACAACAGCCTAATGGTCATTGGTTTTAAATTTTGTTTATAGTTTTATATTATAACCCTCATTTAAAACACGGCTGCTTTTTAACATCACTTTTGATCACATTTGATCAGTCTATTGTTTCAGGTCCACACAGTGAGGTGTGTGTTAGGGTAAAAACAGGCTGGCCATCATCTCACATACCCATCCATTTTTATTTGAGCAGGCCAATAGTTTGTTGTTTTGTGTCCCCTCTTGCTCTCATTTTCAAGGCAAATATTAGATTTCCATACAGTATGTGTGCTATTGGTAAAATGACACAGGGAGGTGATCATCTTCTATGGATCTACACAGAAGGGATTCATCTTCTCCTCTTCAGGGGATGTGTTGAAAATGAGTCTGCTTGTTGGTTTCTGTGGGTTTGTTCATCTTTGGGCTCTTTCTCTTTTTGAGTAAACAAAAAAAAAAATAGATTTAAAAACAGTGCCTTGTTGTATGCATGTTAGTCCCCATAATGTCATGTTAGACACTCCCATTAGAATTTAATTTAGAAACAAAGAGCACAACCGACTCTGTTCTAAACAGAAAAAGTAAATAAAAATCAAGTCCTGAGTTGCTCTTGGCCAGGTAAACAGTGACAGAGGTCAACACACGTTCAATCTGACCATTTCAGGACAGGTAAAGGTTTTCTTTTTAAAATAAAGCTACTTTTCAATTCTTCGAGACCTGCAGATCTATATTGGTCACCAAGAGAAAGTATCATGGCTGATAAGATAATTCTGGTTTATTTAACTTGTGTCTTGTTTTCATAGTTTTGACCATTGTTTCGTTTGATTAGGATATCATTAAACATACCAAAGTAATAAGTAAGGTAGGTCAATGTAGAACCAGGAAGTGACAGTGTGTAAGCTGTCAACTGATCAGTGCTACAACAGGTTATAAATTTACTGTTTTCCTGTTTTTAACCTGTGGGTTCCTGGTAAACAAGTAGCCGAGGCACATACCACGTCCAGCCCTCCAAGCCATGGACATGTGTGACAACCTTTGGGGTTTGGAGCCAGAAATATGGCCACATGCACAAATTTCCTCAATTAACAGTACGATCCCCATCATTCCTGTTTACTGCCTGATGGCCAAAACTATAAAATTAAACTAAGTTATTATGAACCAGAATGATCAATTAAGGTAATGACTAATGAATGGAGCAGAGGATGGCAGGACACATGGAGGATGAAGAGGGCAAAGGGTGTAAATAAGGAAGAGAGCAGGTGATGGAGGAGGGATAAAGTGCATGATTATTGTTTCCCAGTGAGCGTGTGGTGCAAGGCGGATATGTGAGTTCTTGTGTTAAAATGATGTCAGAGCTCTGTTTCTGTTGTGGTGGGGACTGTCTGGATTATGTTGAGATCAAAGTTCAGGTTTCAGATTTCAGTTATGGTCCACGTCATCAATAATGGGTGTGTTGTAACTCTGGAACAGAGGCTGCATGAAGAGGCCCAGCGTCCCGACCACACACACCAATACAAAGATCCACAGGAAGAGACGATCGATCACCATGGCCACGTACTTCCAGTCTTCAATAATCTGCAGAGAGAGGTTTGATATTAAATGTTGCCACTGTTGTGTTTCCTGTCCTGAACTAAAGTAATTTGAAGTGAATTAAATTTAATTAAATTGTAAATGCATTTGCATTGTGCTTCTTAATCATGTGTAATTATTTATTGGCCAACAGAACAGTGGGGGCAGAGACTTTGGATCATAGCTGCTTTGGACTTTACCAACATTATAATCTTTGTCTTCAATAGTGTAATAAATCTAGCATCAAATGACATGGAAAAAGTCAAAGTTGCTCATACAGAACGTAGTGCAAATGCATCACCACTGATTTACAACATTTTGGTATAAAGTTCTTAATTGAGCAAACCACAGGAAGGCACACACTTCGAACACAATCATTTCGAAAACACATATGATGGAGTTAACATTAAGTTATCCATCACATAGCAAAAGTAGATACCAATGATTAAGAGGTTTAATGTTTACCATGTTCATTATATTAGTTCATCATGGTAGCATGGTAACTTTTGCTAACTAGCATTAAACAAAAATGTACACAACGCTGGCAGGAATCCCTGGTATTTGGTCATAAACCAAAGTATTGGATGAATTAAAATTCTGTCTGCACCAAATCTTATGGCAATGCATCCAATAGTTGACCAGGCAGTTCATATAAATGTGAAACACAGGGTGACAATTGAGAAAAAATCAGGGGATTCCCAAGGTCATTAGATATATCATCTGGGAACCACGAATGTCTGAACACAATTTTGAGCCAATCGATGCTGAGAAATATCACTGCATGCATGAAAATGTTGCTTGTGATGCTAGATGGAAAGTCAGGGGATCAGCAAAGTCATGAGGATTCATCCTCTAGGCAATATGGATATCTGTACCAAATTTTATGGTCCATATACACACTACCATATATATACTGTCAATGTCCACGACTCATTAGTTGTGAAGACATTTCACTCATAACCACAACTGTCAACCTCATGGGGGTGCCAGAAGAAAAATCAAGGGATTACCAAAGTCAGTAGGATTCATCCTCTGGGAGCCATGAATGTATGAACAAAATTTCATGGCAAGCCATCCGATATTTGCAGATATATCTCAGTCAGGACTAAAATGGTGGAAGGTCAACAGATCAACATTGCTAATAGAGCCATGCTGCTAGTGTGGCTAAAAACTTTATTCTAGCGTATTTATCTACTGCTATCCTGCAACAAATGTTGTAAAAATCCCTGAAAAAGTTCGTCAGAACGGAAAAATTAATTGTATGACAAAAAAAGCAGGAGAAGAGCATGTCAAATACACGTACCCCTTCATCATCATCCTCACTCTTCATCTTCTCAGCTATGTAGCGCACTCCATCTACTGCGTCCTCTACGTCAATGTTGCACTTGAGCGTCATCCTCTTCCTGAAATCTGTGTTGTCTGACAAGTCACTGATCTTCCAGCCATAGCGTTTGGCCGACTCTTCGTTCACAAAGAATGATGAGGATGAATCTGCCATTCCCGCAGGACTTCCGGTCCCTCCGTCTGCTCCTCGCAGCTTCTGGTCAGAGTACGATCGCTGCTGGTGTTTTTTCCGGAACTTCTCACGGATGTTGGAGCTACCAGGTCTCCGCATAAAGAGGTAAGAGGGGAGCCGATACAGGAAGACATGCTTGACCCAAGGGGGCATGGTGTGCGTACTGGGAGATCGGTGGTGCACGTTAAGCACGCAAACACTGGTGACGATGGAGAAGGTGACCAGCACCATTGTAAACATCAGGTACTTCCCAATCAGAGGCACTGCTAAAGACGTGGGTGGCACAATCTTTGAGATAAGGAGTAAAAACACAGTCAGGGCCAAGAGGACAGAGATGCAGAGAGTCATCTTCTCACCACAGTCTGAAGGGAGGTAAAACACTAGAATAGCCAACGACGTGATCAGGATGCAGGGAATGATCAGGTTGATGGTGTAGAACAGAGGTTTTCTCTTGATAATAAAGTCATAGGTGATATCCAGGTACCTGATGTCATTAGGGTCTTCGTTCTTGCGTCCAGGCAGTGAAATAATATCCCACTCACCGCTGGGTTTAAAGTCATCACGTGAGGCAAAGTCACTGAGGAGGATGAGATCAATCTCAGTGTGGTCGTAGGTCCAGGAGCGAAATTTCAGAGTGCAGTTCTGCTGGTCAAAAGGGAAATCACGGACTTCAATTTTGCAGGCCGACTTGTAGATAGCTGGTGGGAGCCAGGCCACCTCGCCGTTGTTGGATACCACAGCATTGGAGTAGAAGGAGACTTCATAGGTCCCATCAGCACTGAAAGGAGGAAGAGGTAGGCAATAAGAAAAAGATAGTAGAAAGATAGAGATAAAGCACTCAAAGACAAACTGATCACTGGAAGGATGATGGCAAATCATAAAATCTCTCACTCATTCAAACAAATATAACTGAAGAACTGCTGCTCTCTTGCGTTGGTTCAAACATCTCATAAGGATGTCTCCTGGACACCTCCTTGCAAAGATATTCAAGACCTATTTTTGCCTCTAACAAAAAAACAGCGTTAAGGTGGGGTTCCATGGCACGTTATAAATGTCTCTGAATTGATAGCAGTTCCACCAAACAGTGATTTCCCTTCCGGTCAGCCCCCTAAACAATCTAATATTGGCATAATGATGCACTCAACTCAGGATTTGATACAATTCACAACACTGGGGTCACGATACAATTTTCTCATAATCTCACAAATTATGACTGAAAAAGATTCCTTTATTTCTCAGACAAATTGATCTGCGAAGTCGCAGCCTGATCCAATAGTAAATATGCGTGTGTGGTTGACCCCTAAAACGGAGCACAAACCACCAAACTGATTTCCATGTGTGGCACATCCTACACTGCCCACATTTTGCCTCAACAGGCAATGTTCACTCACCTGCATTCACGCATGTGTGACCGTAGCCTGATACAGTTACTGATGCGAGTAAGGAGGAAGTTGAACAAGCAAAGTCAAAAGCAGACGGCATCCTCAGCTTTTTCATTCATATTTATATCATGGATTTTAAGCAGAACCAGTTCCTTTTATACATGAAATACATTTTGCTGATAATACTTACAAGTTTAAGTTGTTTTTGAACATAGTACTTTCATTTGTAATGAATTCATTTTGGAGTATTTTTAGATTGTTGTATTGTTACATTTACCACCAACGGTTACCTTCAACCTTACTTAATGAGAACCACTGTACTTCATGTCATTGGTTGAAGGTATGTAATCATTTGTGGAATCCATTACAGTGTTGCACCTGAGCATTAACAGAATCAGAATATCACAGAGAGGTGAAAAGTCAATCAATTTACTGAGCTAAATGATGGCGTGTTGAGAAAGTGTGATTTCATGACTGTTACTGTATCTGCAGAGGCGACACATGCAACAGTTATGTGTGTTGAAAGGTAAAGGATGTGTTTATCATCTCAAGGGAGGAGCTCAGCCTGGGACACATCCCAGCAACATGGCAACTTACCTTAAATCTGCTGAGACTGACTTTTTTCTTCATCTCACCAAGGCTGCTGGTGATGCATTATAGATAAGTAGCCTATCAATTATAAAGTAGGTCAGGAATCCAGCCATCACACTCTGTCTCTAATGCTTTGGGGCTGCTGTGAATATGCAGACTAATTAAAAATGCAGAGGCCCCACCTGCTTACTGGGACCTCTGGTCCCCCAGACTTGGCCAGAGATCTCAACCTGAAGTCATAAAGTAGTGTTGTTAATCTCCTATCATTCTGCCTCTTAAGACATTATGCTCTTTATGTGGTCTTTAGCTGACCAGCATCTGTGCTCGTAAAAGTTTAATCCCTAACAGTTTTGAATAAATGGTAACGACTAACACTGCTGACCAAAATACAAAAGCTATACGTCCACACAACTGTGAGCCAGTCAAACGATTTTAATCTCTGGTTCAAAATTCATTCTTGTTCATCAGGAGATGGTGTTTGCTCAGTTTCCATGGAATTGTAGATAGGTTAGATAAGATTAGATAGATACTTTATTCATCCCCAAGGGGAAATTCACAGTTTCCAGCAGTATCCACAAACTGATAATAATAATAATAATAATAATAATAATAATAATAATAATAATAATAATAATAACAACAACAACAACAACAGGAGGTCAAATTTAAAAGAACTAATAAAATAAAGTAGAATAAATAGCTAAATAATGCATGGTCAAATCCAGTGCTTGAAAGGTCTAAGGTCCTAAGCTTGTTCAGTTTTACATTTTTTCAGAGCTCTGGCCTAATATCTGAGGTTCAAAGTTCACTGAAACTCCATCTGCTGATAAAGGTAATGTGGTATGAATGAATGAAACAGAACAGCGACTGAAGGGATCTTGTGATGAGAATATTTTCTCAACTACCCCAATGTAACTAGCAAGTTTGCACTTACACGATCATTTATAACAACAGATTGACTTTCATTTGAACGAGTTCAGCTGCAACAGCATTTGAGTTTTCACTCTTTTTATTTTAAAGCAAAAAACTTACTATAACATTTAAGAGAAAATCTATCACAATTCAGTCAAGCACTTAATGCAAAATATTGCGCAATTACAGCTTAAAAGTCAAGCCCTTGTTTTCTCTGTGGAAGTTCCGTGTTTATACTAAATCTTGTGGTTTTGCAGGCTGTTGTTTTAGATCTTTTTCTTAATGATTTATGTATGTGTTTTGTCTTCCAATGGTAAAATTTGGAAGGTAAAAGGTGGAAAGACATTTTAAGAAAGTTAATATCCATGGTTATTATATTGAATACTGTACATATCACTACACAGAACAAAATAAATGCAAAACTAGAACACAAACATCAATGTTTGTAACAGTGTTGTGATTTGAGACAGAGCAAGGACTCATACATTTTAAAGATGAGCGTTAACTGTTGATGTTATACAAGAAAGTAGCAGATGGAAAAAAGACCCAGGTGTTGATCTGTGTGTGACAGATGAGATGAAGCCTTCATGTCTGTCAGCTAACACTCCAGTGGATAGAGGCAGTGTCACAAATTTGTCTTTGGATGAACAAATTATAGCATCGACATTCTCATGTATTGATTTTTATCCCTTGCAGCTGTTTTGTATAGCTGCAAGATGATTTTTAGATGTGCACACAAAAACACAATATTATCACAGCATTCCTTCTCAATATGCAAAAACACACAATAACGTAGCTACAGGGATGTTGGCCAGAGTAACCATGCTGGCTTGAATGTGCAGGCTATAATTTGATTGTATTTCCCCAATGCAGCCAAAATGCCAAATGCAGCTGAACTATGTGGGAATATACTCTCAGATGTTTTAATGTTTCTTTATCATGCATGTGCAAACACATGCATGTGTGTTCAGTCAGTTGCAAGGAAGGAGAAAACCTAAAAGACACAGAAGTAGTCATCAACATAACAAATGCTCACTGAAATTAAATAGAAATGTCAAATTATGCCTTCTGGATAATGATTATTGAAAGTATCATCAAATTCTGAATCATGTTCTTTAAAAATAAAATATTTATTATACAGACTAGTCTGATAGATGTGTTTTCCAATCTTCAGTAAAAGTAAGATGTAATCACTTGATGTGGGTATCAGGCGTCAAAGGTATGACAAAATGTGCCTTTTTTATCATGTCAGTATGTCCATGTCCCTCTTTCTCTGCAAAATCTGTAATCTCTCATCCCATAAAAGACCCCTCTTCATCATGAGACTGACCCTAGACAGTGTTAACAAAACATTTTTGTTGTGTTCATTATCCTTAAAGAGGTGAAAAGTTGGATAAAAAAAGAAGAGATAAGAGGATAGAAGGAATAAGAGGATATGAGAAAACATTTTAGAAAAATGGGGCTTTTGAATAAAGTTTGTTCCTCTTTTAATCGCTTAGTTTTACACACACACACACACACACACACACACACACACACACACACACACACACACACACACACTGTCTTTCACAAACCAGACGTACTTGTTGTAGAGGACGATGTCTGGCAACCAGATGTGTTGTGACGGGAGCCGGATTTTTTTGATTCCCTCGTACTCTTCAGGGTCCCACATTAATCTGTAGTCATTCCATACCTGATGGAGAAGTGCACACACACACACACACACACACACACACACACACACACACACACACACACACACACACACACACAAGGAAATAAATAAATTCAAATGGCATGCAACCAGAAACATGCATAAACATATCAGTCCACGCATACCAATACAAACACTAGTTCAGTCGACCCCTATCCAGCAAAAATGCATTTTGCATTTCAAACAATTGTAGACTGACATATTTGAGCTGACTTCACCAGTGAACCGGCTGAATGTCTCTGCACACAACTACTGCACCACCACGAACCCAGATATGCGACGGTAATGACTAACATGAGTCACTTCTTAAGCCACTAAGAAGGCAAAGTCTGGACATAGCATGACCCCATGCACACAAACACAGGACAACAGGATGAGTGAGGACACAAACCTGACTGAGCCAACAGTTAGTGGTCATGATCTGCTCCCTCTCATTCTGAAACACAAACAGGCAGAAGGTTTGTGGATGGCTGACAATATGATAGCAGTATTTAGGCAGTGACTGAATTTACTCCTTGTTGAAATAATATCTCTACCATCTGTGCTCTTGATCTTAAATTAGTAGGATATGCCTCTATGATAAAAGCATATGTGGATTTTGGATTTGTGTGTGTGTGTGTGTGTGTGTGTGTGTGTGTGTGTGTCTTTCTCTGTCTGTGTGTGAATACTCACCACGTTGATCAGCTGTGCCAGAGACACCTGGATGTAAATGGTGACCTGCTGGCTGTTGTTGACAGCTGGTCTGATCAGCTTGTTGTAGCGCTCCGGTGACAACAGGTGACTCACCAGCCGTTCCTCCACCTCCGCACACAAAGCAGCTGCATACACGCACGCAAACACAGACACACACACACACACACACACACACACAGAAAAAACAACAAAGCAGCAGTTTAGCAGTCGTTTTATTGATTTGAAAGAGCTTCTTCTCAGTTTTATCAACCTTGTTTTGAGCATTAATGAAAGTCTTCTGAGAAAAGAATTGAATAAATGACACAAAACCTGACTTTATTTACAAATATTCTCTCAACTGACTGATTCTCTCTTTGTCAGACGAACTGATTATCAGTATAGCTGAACATGTTCATAATTTGAAAACCCACACACACACACACACACACACATGCCCGGGGCAAAGTTGGCAAAGCAATGTTTAAATCTCGTGCTGTGAGGTCTCACCAATTAGGTGCTGCAGCAATATAACATGCTGCATGTCCTCAGATGTAATGAGTGTGTAATGAGAGTAACAATGCATGCAATCTGCAGTCAGTCCATATGACAATAATGAGCCACATTTGAACAAACTCACATACGCACACACAGCCACTGAGCCACCGCAGGGCTGATTTCACTCTTCACCCTAATCGGCAGAGAACAGTGGGTCACAGAGCTTCAGTGATAGTGTGTGGTTTGAAACACAGACACTGCCAAACTTTCATACATTTTAAACTTGTAAACAGAATTCAGAGTCCCTTGTTTTGGCTTATTTATTTTGCTAAAAGCCAAACTTAACTCAACTTTAAAAAAAATGCTCTGATTTCTATCTCTTTATCTGCTGTCCTTCTGTTGAATATCAAGAAACATTAAGATGGATTTATCGTTACCTAGTTGTCTTGCTTAACTCATCTGCAATCTAAATAAACTCTTTTTCTACTGTGATCCTGTACAAGCAAGTAGGCACTCTATGTCACATACACTTTCATTTAAAATCCTTTCCCCTTGTGTTTTGTCATGTACCTGTTCTTTCCTTTTCTTTTGTTTATTTTTATGGCCGTTGTTTTCTGGAAGGCTTTTGTGAACGCCTTGTTTGTGCTCTATAAATAAACTTTACTTGACGTGACTGTTGGCTATGGCTTTCCTGCTTACAAGACTGTATAAACTGGAGGGTGACAAGAGAGATAAGAGAGATAGGTGGGTTACATAACGGGTCAATACTGTGTATACCCCAGCCGAAAGCAATGTACAGTAAGCCTCCATCTTCAAAAAGGATGTTACATAAAGTATTACAATTAAGCTTAATATTAATGTCATAATTAGTTACTTTGGTAACACAAAGCAGACACCAGAGAGCCAGAAAAGTAACTAATCTCTAGAGGTATGGATGTTTTTGTCTGACCCTTTACATTCAGCTCAGTGTTGCACTGTAGTTATAACATCTGTCATGGCAACAGACATTTTCCTCTATTGCAATAGAAAGAAACCAACATAAGAAAGTTACAATATGGAAAATAAGGATGAAGAAATTATAGATAGAAACAACAAAATACACCATCATCATCACTCGTACGATCTCAGTTCTTCAGAAGTGAAGATTTAGCTTCAGCTTTTTCCAGACATTTGTTCCCCCTTGATGATTCAGCCAGGATATCTTTAACACATATGCACATTTGTTTTCATGGAATTTATTGGAAAACAAGAGTCAGATAGCGAGGCTTGCATTTAGCTATGACACCTACATCTGGAAACAACCATTCAAGATTCAGGGCCGATGAGTCAGCAAGTGTCCTGTCAGGTGTAGTGTGTGTGCGTTGACGTCTTAATGAAGAAAAAGATTTTCAGTCCTCTGTTATGTAGCCTACTTCAAGTAACATCTGTTTTCATTTGAGTCATCCATGGCCTTGCCAGACCACAGCAAGCCCAAAAAAAATTGTGGTTTGCCTTTACTGGGCTAAGGGAATCTGACTTGAACTGACAAAAACAATGACAAAAAGCTTAGGAGATTTTGGAGGTGAGCTGATTCTACAAGGTCTGCCAGTAGACAAATAAACTTCCATTTAAAAAAGGGAAAGAAGATAAGGAGAGTTGTGTAAGTTTGTCAGTGGTTTTCACCTTCAAACTGCTGTTAGTAGTCTAAACCAGGGGTTGACAATCTGTGGCTCCGGAGCCACATGTGACTCTCTAACACTGAGAAAATGCTGGGCCCTCGCAGTCTGCATGTGTCGGGGTATGCTGCACTCACATCATACGCCAGTATCGTGTGTACACAGCACCCTCCAAATTTCATGGACATCAGATGATGTTTGCTATACAAAGTTCAGTTCCTGTTCCCACCGGGTTGCGCTATGACTATGACATATGAATATTGGCATGTAAATGTGTTCAGGGTGGAAACGTGTATTTTCAGGAAGGAAAATGTACACTGAAGTTATGACAACTTCCTGTTTCCTGGCCAAAGATCAAAATGAAGTGCCACACCACGAACACGCCTTTTGACGAAAACTCACATCTATTAATCGTGATGGTCTTTAGATTGCACTGAACAAATTTGAAGTCGATCCCAACTTTGATAGTAAAGATTGTCTAGTTTAAGCTGTCTGACACTATCCTGGCTAAGCATATGACCGCTGTATGACCGCTGTATGGCCGCTATATGGTCAGGTTTCATTCCAGTTGAGAGCACACCAATTTTAGTACAAGATATTGTGATATAGCCAACCATTAATATTGAAACAGCTGTGCGAACACTTCTGAACTGCAACATACTCATGTCCGGACATCTCAAAACTGTGCAGTTAGCAGCTTTGGACATCTATGAAGGTTGTTTATTTTGGCATTTTTCTTGCACTGGTTTTCAGCAATGCCGCCAGCTGTCATGTCAATACACACTCAAGATAGAAATGTTTTCCCAGACATGTCAGAAACAAGCTGAAAAGAAGGAGCATTGAGTTTTAAAGGCAGGTGAAGGAAGCAGGGATATACTCTACACTTGGTCAGTCTACATTAACCTCCAGCAAGCTTCCATCTGAAGAGGAGACGGGAGAAGTGTCCAACATCTGAGCAACTATGACATGACACTAAACCTCAAGGGTAAAAGTCTTCAGAGAGCTCTGCCACAAAGAGCTCTGTCTGTCAGGATGAGAAAGAAAGGGACACATGAGAGGGGAAGAGGACAATAGACACACACAAACACAACAAACAACAAAGAGTAGTGTGAGACAAAGCCATCCCCAGATTAGTATAATCATCTGATAAAATGAAATAGGATAATTCTGTATTATGGTAATGATTCATGGGAAATCACAGTCATTCATTGTGCCTGATGGGATCACAGCCTGGAAACACTTCATTGTTTATATGCAATACGAGAGTAAACTGCTGCATAATATCATGGAGGTTTCTTGTACTAATTAAAAGCAACTGGTGTGATTTAGAGATGTTGGTGGCCTGGGAAATGAGACCACACTTTATAAATCCTGTTGGTCTAACACATTGTTTGCTTCTCAGCTTTATTTGTCACTGTGCTTTGGTTAATTGGATTAAAGCCTCGTTAATAAGAGAGAGCTGTTAAACCACCAAGCAATGACAAAGTGATGAGGGGCCATAAAATGTACAGAACTGTCTTATTGAACTACAGTCATTATCTGTGCTGCTAAAATGAAACAAAATAAATGAGAGGAAAATATGTTCAGATTAATCTTCAATTAAAGGTGTAATTGCACACATGAAGTTTTTGGAGCTTGACCCATACCTGGGACCAGGGCCACAACCAGGATTTTAGAAATGGTCAGGTCATGAGTCCTCAGCCTGCTACAGGGGTTCGGGGGCATTTTAATGCATTTTGAGAATAACAATAATCACTTAGGAAATAATGCCAGTGCCAACACATAGATGGAAATTGTATAGTAGCTAAATGCCCAGTTTGTACTTTATTTTTGTTTACTATTGGGTGTGGAGCAGCCAGGCAGAAATAATCAAATTAAAATTCCACAAAAAATGATGCAATACAAGACAAGAAAGAGGTTCCTGGAGAGTTTTTAACTTGGAAAAGTACAAGTTGATTCATGTAGTCACATTATAAAATGAAACATAATGGAAACATAAATCAGTATACTGTATCTCAGCCTCTGCTGCATCGATTTTGTCACACAGCTTTATGAAAGTGCAGTAAATGATTGGAGTAGCCCTTTAATATCAGCGCATGGCAGATACTGGTGGTTGGTTGGTTTTATAAAGAAAAACCTATAGGCACAGAAATTGTTTAAAATCACACCTTCTTAAATTGTTATCCAAACCACCATTAATCCGAGCTCACAATAACGAAACAGAGAGAAACATTCTACTTCCAAACTGACCACTGCTTATTGGGGCTAAATCTGTGCCAGGAGAACATGAGCAATAAGTGTTCAAAGTCACAGTTACTTTTCTTAGGATTGCTCACCCCCTGGGTCCCTCTATCTGCAGTTTCACCCTCCTGTTTGCTAATAAACTTTTTTGTTTTTCTAAACACTGTCATGAACCAGAAAGTCAGTGATGTCCAGAAAAGCTTTTCAGAGAGTGAAATTAAAATTCAGTGCCTGCAGACACTGCACATATTTACTGTAGACATTAAAAAAATAAGGTTTCAGTAAAATCTATTAATTGAATGATTGCTGGGTAAATCGATCGATCCAATCAATGTTAAAAATATACATCTTTACAGTGATTTGACCTGCAGTGTGGTCTTTACTGTAGTGGCTTCACCCTTTGCTTTTCTCTGGCTGCTCTTTGATTTCCACCTGAGAGAAGATGTCATATTGCCTTAAAAATGTAAAAGGGGTGGCATAAAAATAAACCCAGCACATAGAATTACTAAACTGTGAAAGACAAATGACATCATGTGACTAATGAAAGGACTCCAGATGTTGGAGAAACAGAGTATAGGCCGTATAGAGTAATGAAAGGTATGGGGTTTGACAGTAAATGCTAAAATGGTAGATGAGGCTAAAATGAGATGTGTATGAGGTTGATGTAAGTAGAGATGGAGCATTAGGGAGTCTACCAGCAGGTCTCATCACACATGTATGCACACACACACACACACACACACACACACACACACACACACACACACACTCCTGTCCAGCTCGCTGCACTCTCCACACCTCAATAATTCATTGCCGCTAAAATAAAAATGCCATCATCTCACAAGCACAGACTCAAACACAATCAAAGATTATTCTACGAGTATTTCTCAACCAGGTCAAAATCAGCACATTCATAACACTGAAATCATAGCAAATAAACATCCCCACACACTGCTGGATGCAGATGATGCAGATGGATGGACGGGTTGTGTCATCAGTTCGGTGTACAGACAAAAAAAAAGCACCCAAATTCTGCATCCTTTAGCTTCTTTTTTAGGATAGTGAATTATTTAATGCGTTGCCATCTGGGGTGGCCTTTCTGAAGCCAAAACAATTTAGGCTTCAGCTGTCTATGGCTCTGCTCAGTACGCTGTCCATATCAGTCACGTTATAAAAGACGTCCATTCATATGCATCCGCAGCCACGTGGTCAAGTTCCAACAAGACTTTTCACATTGCTCACTGTGTATCTGCTGCCTGAAAGATTCTTGTGTTTTTAGTCTCTCGTGGGATTTCCGTTTGCCCTCAAGCTTTTCATCATCTCAGACATTCCTTCCGTCTGTGAGGATAAAACCAACTATTCCTTTACTACAATGACTTTGTGTTTATGTCACAACGTCTCCCTCATGTCTTTCTGTCCTGCTTTGCTCTTTTCTTCTCAGCAGTTGCAGGAACATGTGCATGCTGAGTACAGAAGAGAGACAATGGCAGCAGGAAAAGTGGCTTTTTCTGTGCTCAACTCCCTCTGTGCCACCCTCATCGCAAGTAACCACTGCTTACGTTTGCACCAGTTTCTTCTAAATCTATCCGATGCAGCCGTCTCTGGCTTGAACAGCACATTTATCTTTCTCTTCATCTACCACTTTTTCTTATTCAACAGCAACATCCAAATAAGTGTGCCAACGCAATGACTAATGGTTTACTATGAAGTGTTGACTCACTGATGTCCTCTTGACCGAACACACAACTACAGTTATGAGAAAGCAGTTTTTAAACCCATGAGAATAAACAGCCTTAGAATAACCTGCAGGACAAAACTTAGAGCTGCATATTTCTGCCCACCCACATAGTTTCACCCAGGGGCTGCAAAGAAGCAGAGTCAGGGTTGTGTGAGGGGGAATCGCATGGTATCCTCTTGCGTAATGCAAGCATTTAATGAGAAAAAACATCTAATCGGAGGTAGCTGTAGCACCTATTAGCACATTTTACAGCAAATTTTACATAGCTGATACTGAGAGAGACAGAGAGCACCGGAGACAGAGGACTGCGTGACGAGGGACTCAATATGTCAGATAAGTTACAGCATAAGTGGAATAATATCAGATGATATAGAGAAAAAAATATGGCATGCAGGGAGAGACGGAGAGTGGCACAGATAGAGACAGAGCACTAATACATCTGAACAAAGTGGCTGCCTGGATTTGGTCATTTTACTGTAGCAGCCAGGGTGACGTTTGATAGGAGTGACAGAGCCACAGTCATGTAATGCCTCAGCTGGAGAACAGAGCACGGGTGAAAGAGTCATAGAAAAGAGACCAAGTTGAATCTGTTAGACAACAAAAGGGAAGTAAAGAGGTCAAAGATAGGTAAAGCATGCTCTCTAGGTCAAGTCTGAGAAAATTACATAAAATAAGCAGTTTTAGGGAGTTTGCAGCATTGCAGATGTAACTTTTAGATGCATTTGTAAGGTTCTATAATTCTGAGGAATGGGCTGAACATTTTTATTTGAGAGGTCATAGAGAGCAGACAAACAACCCTGTAAGAGGTCAAGAGTAACAAGTCAAAGCTGACTTTCATCTGCAAAACTATAACAACAGTGATGTCATGTTTGTACAGTTTTACTGAAAATAAAATAAACACACATTACAAATTAAATTAAATTAAAAAAAATTTCTGTACAGTAATTAGCAACTTTGTTTTCAAAACAAACAAAGTTGCACAGAATACTCCCAAAATGAGACTGACTTTGCATGCCTTTATTCCAATAAAAACAGGTCCAACTCACGGCACTGGGGCTGGATGTACGTAAACACATTCAATCAATAAGAGGAAGTAGACGCAATGAGTTCTGGGGTTTGCCCTGTTGAGCGCTGCTGCGGAACATGCATCAGACACACTGACGTCCAATTTCAGCACCATGGACAGCTCCTGAACGAGCTCCCCTCCAGTGCCTGATTCAGGACCACAGACAGCTGCTCATAACTTTCAATTGATAGAAACAAGACTTTCTGTGCTGTATAACTAATTGGAGTGCACCACGTTGAGGTTCTCTGTATAGAGACCGTCCATTTAGATCGTTGTTATTATCATCAGAGGGCCTTGGCACACACTGCAGGCCATTAGGCACAGTAAGGGCCACAAAATCCCATTATGAGATTTAATCAAGTAGATGTAAAGGCCCATGTGTGTCTGCAATTAGAGCCACATCGTCCAACTGCTTAATGAGTCAAGATAACGGTGCCAAATGGTTCACAATTGTTACTGGATTTGTTGTTTAATTTAAAGTGTAGGTCTGCAGGGAAATGTGTGCAAAAGCAATGCACCCTTATCACACCCCTGCGCATATAAAGCCATTATGATTTCACACGGGTTTGTTGTGTAAAAAGGAGCAAGTTAGTTAATTGAGGCGTGCTGAAAAAAATTACGTGCTGACGCAAGGAAATGCCACTATCCTGCCCCACCGGCCTGCTTTCCGGTATCACGTGCTGTCTGTAAAGTAGAAATGTGGCATTTCCCCCAAAATTGTAATAGCCTACTCATGCGAGGAGGTGTAATGTGTTTACCTACAAAGCACATATGGTATTACATTTCTAACATTAATACTTCCCAAAAAATAATATATTATATGGCATGCATAGAGCCCACAGAGAGTGAACAATTTTACAATAAACAGCCCAAGACTGAGTGGTTAAAGCCCCATACGCAAAGTAGAAGCCCCCCTGTCCCGTCCCGTCTCGGTCTGGGAGGATTTGTAAGGATTACTCACTTGCCACGGTGAGAACCAGGAGAGCCAGCGCTGCTTTCACCGGGGCTGCCATCGCTTCCTCCCCTCCAGTGCGACTGACACAGGAAAACTTAAAGAGTGGATTCCCCCTCTTCTCTTCTCTCGATGTGAAGTAAGTAAAGAGTGGAACAAAAAAATATAAAAAGGCAGGCTGGATTATAGCGGTTTCATTGCAAGAAATTCCGCAAATGACGACCGGTAGCTGAGGCTTGGAGGCATGGAGAGGAGCACTGACTGCTGTCTGAGCCTAGAGATGAGGAGGCTGGATGCTTTCTGCCAGAGCGCACCGACTCCAGCGCTGGTCCTGGAGCTGTGATTGCGCGCAGCGGAAACCGGCTGTAGAGAGCGGAGTACCCCTCAATTCTTCTTGAGCGATGCAAACAACGTTTTCCTCTAGAATATTGGGTCAGGAGCTACTGGGGATACGCTATCGCCGAAGCGGCCATTCCTCAGATAAAAGATTTAAGCGCCCCGGTCCTCACATCGCCCTGCCCGCCCAGTGCGCTCCCCCGTCGGGCGTCAGTTTCACTCTCCGCCGTCTTGATCGACACAATTTGACATGACAACAAACAGGAAGCATTAACAGTCAGAAATACCTATAGGGAAGGCATTTAATACCAAGCAACCACTGAAAGCTACCTTATCTTCTCCAATCACGAGAGAAATCCCTTCATTGAAAGTTTACTTTAATTAAAATACACTTTTATGAAGCTCAGAAGGGATCAGCTACAGGAAGCAAGAGTGGTTAAAAAAGAAAACCTTATCTTTTTCAATTCTGAAGTCTGTTAACTAATAAAATAAATAAAAAATAAAATAATTTAACCCAGAGACTGAAGTTACGTGGAAGCAGCAAATCAGCAGAGGCCTTGTTATCTGCATTAAGCATATTGTGGTGCAGTTGTTTGTTCCCTCTCTGAGACTGGGGTGGGTGGGGGCGATTCTGTGGCATGCTGGGGTCATGATATTTCCTGCAGGAAGCATGAAAACATTTAGGACTTGGCAGCCCACCATTTGAAATAAAAAGAACCCTGTGAATGTGATATTTTATTTATCCCTATGGGGCAATTATCCACTCTTTCATCACCATCAACCCCACAGGGAGGTCAAAGGTGAGGGTCAGCCACAGGACAACAAAAACAATAGATAGCAATAGAAACGCTCAAGGACACTTCAGCAGCAGAGACCCAGAGGACAATCCTGTAATAACAAGGCTACCAAAAGCTGATAGCTACAATCACCAATCATTGTCAGTTCTCCTAATCAATTGTTTAATTCATCACAACACAAAGACGGGCATGGTAATAACAATATTAGGAAGAGAAAAACAATAACTGCTAATCAAATCCGCCTTTGCCAACCAACTCGAGCCTATCGGGTTACAAAAAGTCAAACTGTAACATTTATCAGCAAGAGAGCCATGATAGGCAATACTTTTTATTGCCCACTCATAATGTGGTGAATCAGCCTCAGATAGTGGGTCGTGGGTCTGATGAGGGATCACAGAGGGACAGAGGGGTGTGTTTATGTGTTTGTCTCTGTGTGTGTGTGTGTGGGTGTGAGTGGGAAGACTGCAGGCTTCCACAGTCTGCACACGTCAATGCGGTATAACTACCCCAGAGGTCCCTTTGGTTATGTGAGGGGAAGAGAGGGCAGGAGGAAGACATGGCCTTAAATGTTCTTCACAAAATGACTCCAGCTAATTATTTCACTGCTTGGACAGAGAAGAGGAGGAGGATGAGGAAGATAAGGAGAGGAGGTATAGGAAAAAAGAAGAGGAAGAAGAGAAGGGAAAACGATACATTTTAGTTAAATCCTTTCATGAGGACTGTGTTTTTTTTTAAAGAAATATCCAGTGTGGAGGGAAAAAAAGTTAAGGAAAAGTTAATACTCTTTTACTGTTTTACCAAGAGTTAGATAAGAAAATAAACTGTCATGGATGAAGCAAGAGCCAGCAGCTGGGTAGCTTAGGTTAGCATAAAGACTAGAAAAAGGGGGGGAAAGCTATCTTGGATCTGTTAAAAGAGAAAAAGCAGCACCTTGGTTAAGGTTAAGGAACAACCAAGGTCTGGCTTAAAAGAAACCAATGCTGACTTGACGAACAATGATCCCAAGTCCAAACCTTTGACCTATCCATCCAGTTAGAGGAATTAGCAAAGCAACCAAGTTCTGGACAAATGCTGGGTAACATGTGACCCCTCAAACATGTGCAGCCAATAGAAGACACAGGAACACAGTTTCTAACTCTCAACTGAACTTTGGCCTCACTCCCTCGCTCATACATCACAGACATTTTATGGTTCATGCATTCACGCAACACACTCCATGAAATTAACCCCTAGTCACAGCTCCAAATGCAACCAAATTGTATTACCCTCCCATCACTCCCCATTACAGCCACACTTTAGCAACATGCAAGCATCCGCCTCCCAAAGTCCCCGCCCGTCTCTCCTAATGAGCATTATCTCTGCATCCTAAAAGCAATGGAGAGGAGCAGAGGAAGGCCAAATTTAATCAGAGCTACTTAGAGCTCACTGTAGGGTCTGCTCAGGCTCTGAAGAGCCAGCCAGAAAACACACACACACACACACACACACACATCTAAACTAAAATCTAATGCTTTGGTCCCATGTTTTGTAAATACTGTAACAGATAGCTGGGAGATTAGCAATATCACACACACACTCACACACATAAACATGGGTCCAATAAAACATCTCAGCTTTAACTTGTCCCATCGTAAAACTGCTCAGAGTTCTTCTAAAAACCCATACTGGTGGTTTTATATGTTTCAACCCATTGAGTGCAGATTGTGTCTATTTTACACAAGTGCTGACCATTTTGCAAAGCACAGCTTACTACATTTATTTAAATGGAGGATAAGTAAAATTATTATTACATAAAAACACAGTTGCAAGCAGGGATAGTTTTAAAACTCTTGGTGTTTTTAGTGCTTTAGAGAAACTGACATCAAAGTTATGAAAGGTGGATGTTATGTAACATTTAATTCACAGAAACAATAACGTGACAAAATGTTACACTCATGGTACACCTACACAAAAAGTTCATTTTATTTAGTACTTACTTGTCATGATGCAACATCTATGTAATATTGGAGTTATTGTAATTACCAGTTTAAAACTTTACTCAAACGCCTTGTTGTAAGTTGTAATTATGAATGTGATATATCTCAAAGCTCCAATACATCTGACTGATCACTTTACAGGGAACTGGTCGGTTTACAGGTCTTATGGAGAACTACTGTATATGTGAAAACAGTTGTATAAAGCCTTTTGTGGCTACTGATGGAGCTGTGCAGGAGTCTTATAAATTGATTCACTAGGGTCAGCTTTGGTTGGGGTAAAAAAAATGAGTGGTTTGGAGTAAGAGATAAGTGCTTTTTAGTTAGTTTAGTTTACCAGAGGCAAAATATCGATATAAATATGTTTATGTTTAGGAAAATAAATAATATATACAAACTTCACATTTGCTCTTCATAAGATAAAATGCATACCGTTGGTTTAGTCTGGTGGTCAGAGTGCCGAAGTGTTTCCCTTTACATAATCATTCATCAGTTCGCTTCCTACAGCAATGATAATCTGATATCTACCAGAGCCCAAGCACTCTGTCATCATGATCTAATTAAGCATACATTGTACACAGCTCCAATATGTGTATGTAATGTGTCCTCTGTACGCCAACACACAAACACACACTGTGTCTCCTCTTCCACACACTCCTTGGGGTTACAGCAAACTTACAACATCTGCATCTATTTCCCAACAGCTGCATCACCATATTGTATATCATTTTAGTGGATTCGGTTTGTTTGGTTTACTCCTCTCCAAACAGCCTCCTCACCAGCCTCCTTCTCATCTAACAGCGTGTTTGTTTGCCTCCAGGCTGCACAGTCAGAGACAGTGTGCCCCGGTGAAGTGGCCGATTCCCCCGCTGCATAAATGTTATCATAAATTCACATCACAAGGGGACATTTGTGTCTTGGACTGACAGTATGAGATGGGGCTTTCTAAATTCCAGACTGGTAGCCTGTCACAACTGGTCATTTTCCTGCTTCGGTGGGGCAGAATCAGAATGATGGGACCTCCCAGATGTGTAGTGATGAACGCATCTCATCAGCTATCTTTATCTCTCCCTATGCTTCCTGTTGCTGCTCCATGCTCATCGGCATTGCTGCTTGCCTTCGGTCTTTGTCTCCTTACTCTACTTCTTGTCCCTTTGTTCCATTCATGTGCCTGCTCCCTTTTTCACCCCTTCTTATCGCCTCTCAGTGCTCCTCTTCCTACTTTTAGTCTTTCTTCTTGAGTGCTCTACATACCCTGTCGCTCTCCTCTCATCTCTTCTAAACCAAACAGGCATATAAACCCCTGCTGAGCTCCTAGTGGGTGGGAGAAAAATGTTGGAAAAATTGCAGGAATCTTATCATGGCTGAACTCAATTAAATGTTCTGACGAAGCCAACAGCCTCAGAGCAGTGCCCCTGCTGCTCCGCTACATCCTGGCTCATCTGGTTTTCTGTAACGTTAGAATGGAAGGTGGGTTTCTGTGAGAGGCCCCAGGTTTGCCCCCAGAACTTGTGCAAGTCTGGGAAGTGAGGAAAATCCAATGAGTATGCTCTTAGTTTCAGGATTTCATATTCAGTATGAACACTGTCCTTATCTGAGCACTGTTGGGTTAAGTGTTTATTTCAGAAACCATTAGATACTGCATAACTTTTGATGATGTGGAAAATCCACCACAGAGCAAATGATAGTTGAAATAATTCAAATGCGGGTATGTAGGTTGATCAAATTTTAAAGCGGTCTTATAGAGCTCAGGGCATGCAGGGTGGTGTATACATGCATGGCTGCGCTGTCTCTATATGGCAGCCCTACTCCACATAAAGCCTCTCATGTCGTCTTCACTGCGGGCCACGAAGATTCAGCACTGCACATAATCCAGAGGCAACAACAATCTGACAGGCTCGGACCCCACACACATACTGTTGAAGAAATATGACAGCGTTACACAATCCAGCATGTTCCTATGACACAGGCACGTTTCCCGCTCAGATACGGGCAAGGAAGATGAAGAGGAGGGGAAAGCAGTTGGTGATGAATTCTGAAATTAAAAGATAAGGTAATTTAGTGAATTTAATTTACAAAGACATAATTATTATGTTATTTTACAAAAAGATAATACATTTAAAGTCAAACATTAATGTGTTTCGAATAGCCAACATTTTTCCATTTATTTATTGATTTTAGAAAAAAGGAAACACTGGCTGACAGTGAACTGAAGCATATTATGATGACTTTGCATTTTGTTGAAAGCTCCCATGACACATAAGTCCTTCCTTTCACCTTTGGTCTCCTCAGCTTTGAAAATGTACTGTAAGGTAAAGAGACAATTTACTCTTAATAGTCAATAATCAACAATCACAAGCCATAAAATAAGTCTAATGGGAAAACAAAAATCCTTAAAGGACCAGTGTGCAGGATTTAGGCACATCTAGCTGTGAAGTTGCAGATTGCAACTAACTGAACTGCGCTCGTGTCTGTATTTGACCTACAGCCAGTGTTTGTCCGTTCTGGACTACTGGAGAACATGGTGGACTCAGTGGAAAGCGACCTGCTGCAGCTGTAGATTTAAACATTTTATTCTAAGGTAACAAATACACAATGATTCCTATATTCAGGGGATTATACTCTAATGAAAACATACCTATGAATATTACATTCCATTTCTGCAAA